GAGCGCTTTGCTATTGCTCCATTTCTAAACTCACCCCGTTCGTGCTTTTACACGCTCACTTATAAAAGTGCCTCCTATTCACCTGCTCCTGTAGGTGTTGTGCTAAGTGTCTGACGTGAAATGGAAGTCCTCCTCACTGCGTTGGCTAAAGGAGAAACCAGTCGGGGGTAAGCAGTGAGGTGGTTTTCAGGTTGCCTGCTGTGGTGACGACAGTGCTAGCTCTATTTCAACTGAAGTTAAGCAACACAGGGAGAGATGTTCTGGTTTTTTTTTACTACTCTCCATCTGTCAGTGTATGCATTCGGAACTGAGAAGCCCTAAAATGTCTTAAAAAGGGAAGTGCTGGGCAAGCATGGTAATAGACATCATTACATTTCAGCTTATTCAACGCTAAAATAAAGCTTTTATGCCACAGAACTACATAATAGCATTCTTCTTTCTGTCAGTATCATTTCCAAATTGCAGAATGGGAATGATTTCGAATGCAAGGCTCTTTGTTTGGCTAAGAAAATTTACCCAAATCCAATGGGTGTTGTGAGGTTTGGAAAAGCCTGGCTCTGAAGAGGTGCATGTGAGGTTGATTCGTGGGTTCTCAGAACGTGCTGCCCACTTCAGCTGGTCGTGGGCACTGCTCTGCTCCTGCCAACACCCAGCACCCAGCCAAGGGAGCTGAAAGAGGCCGTGCATTTTGTCAGATAACCTCGTGGCAAATCTTAGCGTTAATTTCCCTGGGCCTTACTTGCTGTTACAGATATGGAAGTGGTACTGCCAAGCAGTCACTAAGCAGTGCAATGAAAAAAATTCATAAGTGCATTTGAAGTGCTAATATCCCATAGGGAAAAAGGCAAAAAAACCCAGGAAGAATTAACAGTTCTGTCCTGAAAGCAGGGTTGCATTGATGGAGAACATCAGAGAAGTCAGAATCCTTTTCCTGAGCAGGCTGAGTTCACTCAGTTTCTCATTTGCACTTTGAACTGAGCCACAATGAGGACTGAAAACCAGAGCTCTCTGTTTACACAGATTGTGATCATTAGTACATAAAAAGAATGATATCAAACTATGTGTAGTGAGTTATTCACCAGTGAACTTCTTCGCTTCCAAAGGCTCTGTTTGTGACCAAGACATTTTTAATCACCTTCTGAACCCTTCTGTTTCAAACATATATAACATATAATGTATGTGTCTATATGTGCATTCACAAATAGCCTTTCAGTTTATCTTTACTTGCAGTGCAAGTGAGGAAAGTAGGGTTTTGTTTCATCATTGCTGTGGTTTATTTTAACAGATCATTTCTGACCCCAGGCTTCGTGTCGAGTTAGCTCTTCGAGAAGCTGGACTTCATAAAACACTTTATGCAAAAGAGATTTTGCCAAAAATTCCTCCACTGAAGCTTCCGAGAAGAGACATGGAATCTACAGTGTTTAAGATGTAGAGCGCTTTGTGTGTCAAGAGCAGAGAAGCTTCAGAGGTGTCATCTGGGCCGTAACAGTAGACCTTTCAATAAATTCTCACTGGCCGTGTCATGGAGCTGCTGGGCTGTCACTGTGTGCAATCATTCAAGGAAAGGACGTGCCTTTCCTTACAGCGTTCGGTGCAACATCTGAGCCCTGCCTGGGTGCAGGCTTTGAGGAGCTCTGCTGGGCTGCTCTTCAACTCCCCATGCTGCAGGATTCCCCGTATTTCTTCCCGGCAGGAGATCAGCAGTGATGGGAAAGACCTCTGCCAACTCTGCTGGTCAATTTGCGTAGCGTGGTTTGGAATTCTGGTTTTTAATTGGCAACGCAGACCCCAAAGGCTTTGCAGTGAGTTGGATTGTATCGTGGTGCACAAATGCATGCCACGTGGCTTTTGTTCCAGTTGCCTGAGAATTTGATTCTTTTAATTATAAGATCTTTCTGCTATTCCTTGATGACGGTCAGAAGGAACTTAACCTTTGTCTATATTGAGAAACCAGTTTGCTGCGTCGTACTTACTGGAAACCAGTCATGCAAGCAATTTCGTATTGGCAGTGTTTCAGAATGAATTATACATTATAAACACCATTTCAGATCTGGGATTCTTATTTTGGAGTGGACTCCACTGCGTGCAATCCTCTTCAATTAAAGTAAATTGATGTCATTTCATTTCGTAACTGATTGCATTTCCAAGCCTCACATAAGATGGCTGTAAAATTTATTCTGTATGTAAACAAGTTACAGCAAGGAGCTTAACCCAGAGTTCCTAAGGACAATAAATGTCAGAAAGATCTGAACATCCGTATTTGCATATCTAGTTAACTAGAGGAACTTAATTAGCCTAATATTGTGATGCTTTACAGACGTTAATGGGACGCACATCCTCAAGGCCCTGTGAAGCAGATCCAAAGGAGGATCTGCGGGTGAGGATGTTGGAGGCCCTGCCAGCAGAGCCCGTCTGCAGAGCTGTGCTGGCTGCTGCCCTCCTCAGCAGGCCGTCCTTCCTGTTGACTGGTTCAGCAGCTCTGCACTGAGCGCCTTGCAGTCTGACAGGCGATGTTCCATTCTTCACACCTTGCACTGAAGGTAATGCTGACAACATGTAGCAGTGCATCCTGACCTCAGGAGGGGGGTTGGTGCCCAGGGAGGGAGGTTTGCTCTGGTGTGGGTGGGTGAGGCTGTGAAAACAGAAGCAGAGAACTGAGGAAGGGATCACAAAGCCAGGGGAGGGCGGGTGCTGCAGGCTGCAGCAATGGGCAGCTTTAAATCGAAGCAAAGTAATCTGAGTACTGAAGTGAATCTGAGTTATTTTGCTTGGGGTAGAAACGCTGCAGAGGCTGCTTGCTCAAGAGCAGCGGAAGCTGAATATCCTCTGCATTTTGTGTCGTTGCAATTCAGTGCATATCTGTGCATTTTAATTTGGTGTCTTGTTCGAGGTAACTCAGTATTTTTAACACATGCTTGGGCAGCTTGTTGGTTGCTCCAGCAGAGGAGGCCAGCACTGCTTTGCTTCTCTTCTGGAGACCAGATTGGCTCCAGGGACAAATCCTCCTGATGGCTTCCCAAAAACAGAAGGTCTCATACTTAAGGCAGTGGTTTTTTTTCTCACCTTTAAAGGCAGATCCAGAAGACAATCTCAGCGGTGCAAAATCTTGTGAAACTGTAATTGTCTCTAGTAAGTAACTGGTGAGATGCTTATGGAGAAACAACGTTTACATGAAGCAGAAAATCATTTTTGAAAAAAGGGGCTCTGTTTTATAAGCAGTATCGTGGATGCTGTCACATGTGCTGCTTTGCAGAGAATGGGCTCAGTATTGTCATCTGAAATCTGGGAAGAACTCTCTAACTCCAGTGTGGTGTTAGAAAGAGGCATTCCTTTATTGCTCACCAGGTGCACCGGGCCAGGTGACGAGCAGTTTGATCTTCTGGAGTTCAGGTTCTACTCTGAAACAGTTCAGACGTCCCTATGCAGCACACTGGCATACAGATTCATTCTTTGTCAAGGACTCATTAATACATGCTAATGCACCTTTGGCCATGCTCGGTGATATCTGGGGTGGCCAAGTGCCCACCTGCTTCTTCCCTATTTTCCACCATCAGCTTCGTCACTGTGACCTTCCACTCACTTTCAGCTGCTGGATATTCTGAGGCCTGAGAACAACATCTTTATGAAAATGAAGTCACTCCACTTTAAGATGTACAACTCAGCTGTCAGTTTTGGTCGTCAGAAGTGGCTCAAGTGTTAACTGGTGCCTGAAAGTCAAGTATGCCACAGCTGCAGGATGAGTCGGTGCGGTACCAACTGCTGCAGAAACACAATGCTTGTGCCAGCTTATGTGCACATAAGCTTATGTGTGCTTTTGGGTTTGTATTTATAGAAGAGCAATGTGAGTGGCTGCAGTGCTGGCTCTGATCCCTGGGAAGCGGGCGGCTGTGCTGGATGGTTTGCATTCTGATAGGAGCTCCCAGAGACGGAGGTGCTGAGCCCTATAAGCCATTAACTGACTGATGCGAAACCCTGGGAGGGTGTCAGAATGTGCAACAGAGTAAGCATTTCCCAATGTAATCGTTAAGTTAGAAGCGGAATGATTGAAGAGTCTTAACTGCACCACATTGTAGAAAATAAAGAAGTGGCTGTGTCCTGCAGAGCAAATGATCAGGGCTGTAGCTGTGTCAGCTGCAGCAAAGCAAACCCCTACCAAATTGGGCAGAATGTTAAACATCGTGTTGCTTTTCCTGGAGTAGTTTTCACTAAGAGCTCAGCTACCTTACGGTTAGTACACGAGGTTCTGGAAGTGGACGTTGGACTTTGCAGAGCTGAGCTTGAACTGCAGGTTAAATTGCATGTCAGTAACGGGTGACTGAAGGACACTAGCTCAAGTCCTGCTCTTCCTTAGCCTTCAGATCAGTATTTGTGCCTGAAAACTGAAGTCCAGGAAGGCAAACTCAGAACCAGGCTCCTTCTCTGAAACAAGTGGAGTTTGTGTGCTCCCAGTGCTGACCCGGCGTGATGGCAGTCAGAGTGCTGCTGGGAGGCTGCGATGCTGCAGGGAGCTCTGCAGCAGAGGGTGAGGGTGAGGTGGTGGGGGGACCAGGGTGAGTGGGGCCCAAGTGGGCCATCAGACAGGGCCATGCAGTGGGAGGAAATGGGGTAAAGGTTTGAAGTTGAGGGCAGATTGAGGTTGGATGTCAGGGGGAAGTTCTTTGCTATGAGAGCAGTGAGGTGCTGGAACAGCTGCCCAGAGAGGTTGTGGATGCCCTGTCCATCCCTGGAGGTGTTCAAGGCCAGGTTGGATGGGGCCCTGGGCAGCCTGGGCTGCTCTGAAATGTGGAGGTTGGTGGCCCTGTGGGTGGCAGGGGAGATTGGAGATTCATGATCCTTGAGGTCCCTTCCAACCCAACCATTCTGTGATTCTGTGATTCAGGTGTCACTGAATCAGGTCGTGGGGTGAGACCGAGTACTGCACAAATGGCCCCTTGGAGAATGCTGATAAGTGTCCTCAGACTGAAATGTTTTGTGCTTTTAATAATATTAGAGATACCATCTTGAGTTTCTGTAATATGCAATACTTTTATTTATCTGAACTCTTGAATCCTGTAAGTCCCTGTTCTAAAAACACCAAGATTTATTTGCAAGCAACCTTGTAAGTGACCCTTCAAAACTGGAAGCGGTGTCAGCGGTGAATTGGCTGTGCTATGTGTAACCCCAGTGCAATGCCTTCCACCTCACCCACGAGCAGTTTGACCTTCTTACAGCATGGGGCAGTGCTCACAGACCCTGCCTGCATCCCTGTCGGTTGGTGGCAGAGATGCTCCCTGCCCACTGGGTGCCTGGGCTGGGCTCTGGCCCCACAGAGCTCATCAGGCCACATGAGTCCGAGAGCCCTACTGACTGCAGCGAGGAGCAGCAGCCCTCACAGAGCAGATGAGCTGTGTGTGCCATTTGCTCAGCTATCAGCACTGCGCCAGGAGCAACGTGTTCCCCTGATGAGGGGCACGGGGCAAGGGCACCCTGCAGGACAGTCCTTCCATCCACAGGGCAGGAGCCAGAGGGGCACGCTCTTATTTCCTGAGCAGCACTGATGCAGTTCCAGCAGTTTGAGACCCCACTGCACCAGCACAGCAGTGTTTGCAGTTACACCTCCCCTGCTCGCAGGCAGCAGTGCCTCTGCAGCTCTGGGGACGCGCGGCCCCCCAGTCTGTCTTTCCTGCTCTCCACTTGCCCGTGGTGCGGGTTGGTCTCCCGGTGGTGTGGGGTTGGCAGTGCCCTCAGTCGCTGGAAGGCCGTGTGTTCCCTGCAGCAGCATGCAGCCCCAGGCGTCTCCGGATGAAGGCCGCCACCAGGCGCTGCGGCCGCTGCTGGTATTCCTGCAGCACCTCGTGGGACGCCCGGATCTGGTCCCCCTCCAGCCGGTCCAGGAGCGTTACGCAGACCACAGCAGCTGCAAGAAGGCCCAAGTGCTGCGTTGCAAGGGCGGCTGAATGCCCCCAGGCTGCGCTGGGAGCTGCCTGAGGTGGGGCATCACATGGTGTGGGGGGGCGCGAGGCCGGTGAGGCCGGTGAGCTGGGACGTGGCTGCATCGCTGCAGCTGAGGGTACACCCAGGACACGAGAGGGGTGAGGCGGTACTTCCTGCTCTATCCAACAGGTACTTGGGCCTTTTGAAACAAGCTTGTTTTTTTATTGAGCCATGGCATTTGTTTCAGTGTGCTTTTTCTAATGGAAATTGCTAGGAATGCATTTTGGCCTTCACATCAGCTCATAACACACCAAAGCCCCAGGCCCTGCAGGGAGGAGCAGGGCAGCCCGGGGCACCACTCACCTCTCAGCCCGCACAGCCCGCACAGCGCGGCGAACGCCGTCGACTCCATTTCAATGTTTCTCACACCAGCATCATGAGCTCGCTTTAAGTACTCCAACTTTTTTTCATTGGAAAAAGAGCACAGAGCTCCATCTAATCTCCCTTGACCTTGAAAGGAAACAACCGTCACGGCTTGCCCTTGCAGGCAGCAGGCTCAGTGACCCAGGCTGTCTGCAGTGCCAATGTTTTGGCTGGAGCTGACCGAGTTTTCTTTTGCACAGTTACCTCACTCATGTCCCAGTTAACCTGAACTCCAGGCCAGCATACTATGTCTCTGTATAGAAGAAAAAAATCAGTGTAGGTTTACGCTGTATAAAGGAAGACCCGGCTGCCGAGCAGGAGGCATCTGGCACTCTGCTGGGGCAAATGAATGGTCGCAGCCTCTCTGAGGCCTGTGATGTACATCAGGTGGAGGTGTGCCAGGTTAAATTCAAACAACTCCAAGTCACTGTGGGAGAGGCATAGCAAGTTGTGCAGAAAATCAGGGAGAGAAAAGCCCCCTTAACTTAGGTTTAGTTCTTTTAGGGACCGACTCTGGCAGCAGGCAGTGGGAGCTGTTTGCAGGTGGCATTACCAGCTTCAGAGGCACTGCTCCCTGTGCTGCTCCCTGTGAGCCTTCATCAGCCCTACGGGTCCCCAAGGACCCGCTGCACACGGTGCCCCCTGGCCCCGGGCCTCCTCTCCCCACACCTGCCCTGCAGCCAGCGCCCCGCACCTTGTGCAGCCTCCTGCAGTGTGCAGTCTCACTCCTTGGGATGAGCAGAACCTGTGGCATCTTGTTGCTGTTCCTACTGTTAATCCCCTTAATGAATTTCTATTTAGATAAAATGTGGCCTTGAGGAACACACAGATGGTTGCATTCACAAGCAGAGGTTTACAGATAGTTTTCAGTCGATTAATTCTTCATTTATTACATTTCATCTACTGTGTAATCAGCACTTTGTTCTGAAAAGGAAACAGTTCCAGAGTAACCGAAGCTTGTTTGCCCAAAAGTCACACGCTTCCTGACATGGCTATTATGAACTTACAGACCTGTCCTGAGCAGCAGAGCACGGCTTGTCCGCAGGGATGGGCTATGGACCGGGGCTGCTTCTCTGCAGCCCGAAGCCATCGACCCCCACTGCTGGGAGTCCCTAAGCACCCACACTGCCATGCCACAGCTGGGCCGGGCAGCAGCTGCCAGAGTGCTCTCCCTTTGCTCCACCACCACCTACAGCAGTGCCAGCCATATGGGGGTGACACTACGAATGTAACGAGGTGCCAGGTGCACACACGTCCTATCAGTAGAGGAACTCATGGCCTGGCTAAGTGCTGGGATTTGTAATGCATGTTCTGAAGGTGCACACTGCTCTGAACTGACCCTGACGCACCGGTGGGACAGCTGCAACCCGTAGGACTGGCTGCACAGATAGCTCTGCCATGGGGAAGGGCAGCCAAAGCACGTCTTACCTTCATAGAAGTCATAGGTGCACATGGTGTGCCCGACGAGCGTGGGGAAGTCAGGAATGGCCTTACTGCAGGCCAGCAGCTCCTCCACAAGGCCCCCATCCAGGTCAGTGCCCCGCACCACCACGTCGCCCAGCACCACCTGCTCGAACCGTGGCTGGAAGCAGGCGTCCACCGCCCTGTCTGTGATCACCACGGAGCCGGCCTGCACCCCTGGGAAAGCAGAGGCTGAGGCTAAGCCTGAGCCCCCGTTGCTGGTGATCTGCTGCAAGGCTTCAGCACCACAAATACCTGCAGGTATCTGTGCGATGGGTTTTTAGTGAGTGAAGCAGATGTGAGGGAATAATTGGGATTTGTGTGGTGGCACAGATGTATCAGTAAAGTGCACAGAATCAGCACATGATGAATGACTGGGAGCATGCTGAGTGATGGCACTTTAATTGCTGATGGATGCAGAGCCATGCCCTGGCACCAGGCCGTGCAGGTGTGAGCAGCACCGCTGCCCCAGCAGGCATAACAAAAACATGCTCTGCTAAGCTGGTCACCAGGATTGTGCTGGGTTTGAACCCAGAATAAAGCATCATGTTATCTGACACATGGGGGCCTGACGAAATGCAAAAGCTCATAGTGACATGACTAATTGCTGGGAAAAAAATTGCTAATAGCCTTTTGCCTGGAAAGAAAGAAGTCGTGGGACAGCTCACCTAAGCCTCCAGAAGTACCAATGCGTATAATGGTGACATCTCGGCATTTGGCATGGTGCAGCAGTTTGATCAGCTCATGAAGCATGATGGACACAGAAGGGATCCCCATTCCATGCTGTTGAGAGAAGAAAGAGTCATTCTGTAGGTGCTGGATGGGTGACGACAGTGAGCTCAGCTCAGCATCACACCCTCTTCCCACTGTAGAGGCCAGCAGGCGTTATCAGGGAGCTCTGTTCCTGCAGCCTGCCCAGGCAGAGCTCCCGGCCCCTCCTGCCCTCAATGCCGTGTTGTGGCCCCAACGCCGCCACTTGGGGCTGGCGGAGCCCCTGCAAAACTCGTGCCCCCCTGGTGACCCTTATCCTGTTCCTATGCCTCCCATCTCAGTTCTTTGCACCACTGTAGGCACCCACCTGCTCTTGGCTTGGCTTTTAGAAGTACAAGATGCTCAGGAGCATGGCCTTTTTTTCTATGATAAAGGCCTCCACCTTTTTTCTTTTAGCCAAGGCAGCGAGCAGCAGGGGTCCAAGGAACACCTGCAGGGCTGATCCCCAGGATATCAGACTGATTCCCTCAGCCAGGTTGGACTTGGCTTTGTCACAGGAATCAGATGGGATCCCTGCCATGAAAGCGGCCCCAGGCCCAGGCACCCTGCAGGCCAGCCCAGCACCCAGCGCTGTCCTCAGGGAGTAACCACTAGCAGAGGAGGTTCTGACCAAGCAGCTCACGTCAGGGGAATACCTTCAGCCACACTTCATAGTTTGTGCAGGGTGGGAAGGGTTTTTACCAGGAACTGTCACACTGCTCATCTCACGAGCAAAATTCCTGCACGCTCATTTTGAATACCACGTTTTTTAAATAGCGAACACAACTGAGCTGAGAGCCCGTGCTGGAATGAATAGCAGGGACGAGTCGGTGGTTGGACTTGATGCAACCCGATTTCCTCTGCGAGAAGCTGAGAGCAGAGGACAGGGCAGGGCTGCACGGCGCTGCACTCACGCTGATGGACAGCAGCGGTCCCACGCGGTACATGGCGTAGCGGTCCGTCCCCGCGCAGATGTCGGCCAGGTCCTCCCCGTCGCCCTCCAGCCCCAGCTCCTTGTGCATGAACTGCGCAAATGCCCTCATCCTGTTCGGGCTGCCGCCAACGCAGACGAACTGGGTGTAAAACGCAGATGTGTTGGCAGCGTCGGCTACAACAGGTACGGCGATTCAGCCTGCAGCGCGGCGGGGTCCGCAACGGGATGCTGCCTCCTCGGAGCAGCGCAGGGCACTGCACCGGAGCCGGCAGGCCTGGGCCGGGGCAGCCGAGCCGCCGAACCTGGTTGGGTATCGCTTCCAGGGCAAGAAAATCTGCAATAACTCCACTGCTGTACATTCAGCAAATGTAAGCTGCCGGTACGCCTAGTGACAGCAGAGCCAAGCCAGATATTAGCTTGTTGTCTAATTTATTCTATCAGCAGCATCAACTGCAATTAGAGAGCACTGCTGATGGCAGAGAGGCCAGGAGGTGGGGAGAAAAGGGACACGTTTTCACAGCGTTCGTGCTAAAACAGTGCTGCCCAAATGCTGGAGCGGACCGACCCTCACCTGCAGAGCAGCTGCTCTCCGGCAGGAGCACACACTGCCGGGGGGCCGCACTAAGGGACGGCAGCACGGTGCGATGAGAAAAAGGGCAAGCAGCCGCCCGGTTCGGCCCCTGCCGGTTACCTTTACGTCCCCAAACATTGCCGGCAGGTCGTGCGTCTTCGTTCCTAAGTCCAAATGATACAGCACGTCCTCATCCATAGCCTCCAGATGCGGGTTTTTGACGTGGACGAATCCACCGCTGCGGGGAGACGGGGAGAAGGTGGGTGAGCGGGGCAGCGGGAGGGCGGGCGGCCCGGGGGAGGCGGAGCACGGCCGGGGATGAGGCGAGGCGGCAATGAGGGGCAGCCGCCCTCCTGCCAAGCCCTGCTGCCACACGGGGGTCCTCTACGTTACAGCTCTCGATGCCGGTAACCCCTTCCGTGTCTTTCGTCTTTGGCAGACGGGATTTCTCAGTATTTGTCGTCAGTTCGTCAGTGGCGGCCCCAGCTCCTCCTTTGGAGGAGCTCTGCCAGAAGCGCCCGGCAGGTAACACGCTGTGCCATATCACACGGAACGGCTTTTTAACGGGAATTGTATATTCGCGTGCCCAGCAACGCAAGCACTGAGAATCGGGACTGTGCGGGCGCCGGGAGGTCGGCTCGCCCTGCCTGTCCCCGTGCTTTAATAAACGTAAAGCAACAACCAACGGAGATTGATTTCGTAAATCGGGCTTAAACAAACCCAGAGAACGTTTTTCCCGCCCCAGTCACAGCAGCTCAGAATCCGCCCGGGACTCACCCCGAGTAACGCGTCGTTTCGGTCATGACGGCTCCGCCGAAGGCGACCCAAAGCGGGAGCAGCGGCCAGTGCCCGCAGCGGCTCCGTCCGCGGGCTGCCGGGGCCAGGAAGAGCCCCGCAGCGCCCCGCACGGCTTAAATGCCCCGCTCGGCGCGTTGCTCAACACCCGCGGCGCACCCACCTCCCCTCCCGCCTCCCCCCCAGTCCCCCGCGGGGCCGTTCCTTCGCCGCCGCCGCCCGTTGGCCGCGGAAGCCGCTCCGCGTCGCCGGGAGCAGCGGATTGGCCGCCGTCGCGGGCTGTGCCGCCGCCGCCCCGGCCACGCCCGCCGCGTGTCCGCTCGCCCTTTGCTCGCCGCCGGCGGCCGCCGCGTGGCCGACACATGTGCGGAGCGGAGCGGGGCGGCTCTGCGGGGCGGCTCCACGTGACGGGATCGCGCCCCGCAGCACCGCCCGCTGCCGGAGCGCCGCGCCGCCGTCCGCGCCGTGCCCATCTCCGTGCCCCGCTCCGTGCCGCTGCCGGGGCCGATTTCAGCGTGCGGGGAGCTTCGCCGCTCAGAACTGGAAAGTTGCCCGAAAGTCGAGCGAACCGCGCGTCGGGGCCAGCGGCAAAGAGACGGAGTGCGAATCGCCGCCGCGGGGCTGAGCAATGACGGCACGCCGGGCGGCTTCGGGCGAAAACAAAACGGAGAAGAGAAACCCGTACGCGAGTCGAGGCGCTCGTACCGCAGCACGCGCCGCAGCCGCACCCGACAGCCGCCATCCGCAGCCGGGCAGCCGCTCCCCGACGGCTCTGCAACAACGCGCGGCGCCGAGCAGCGCTTCTGCTGGGCGACGATTAAAGGCGCGTTTTGCGTTTTAAAGCCCTGTCTCGTTTCTCTGTTGCCTAACGGCCTTTTCCTTCGCCGCTTCCAGCTGCGCTCCGCTCTGCGCACGGGGACCGGCGGAGGGCAGCAGGCGCGCGACTCGTCGAGGCCGAGCGGGCGGCCGCCGCTTCCCCGCGGCTCGGCCCGCGTTCTCCGGATCCCGCCGCGCAGTTCCGGCGCTGGACGAGCGCGACCCCCGGCCACGGGGACGCGCGCGCCTAGCGCCGCGCGGGACGCCGGGAGCGCCGGGGATCCCGCGCCGCCGGCAGGGGGCGCTCAGGGGACGGGCATCGCCGCGTCGCGTCGGCGGCAGGAAGTGACGCAGTGAGCCCGGCGCTCATTGGCGGACGCCGCGGACGAGTGACGCCCCCCGTCACGCCCCGCCCCGCCCGCCGCCGCCGCCGCCGGCCCATTGTCAGCTGCGCGCCGCCGCGGGGCATGCGGGGGGGCCGCGCGCCCGCTCAGCGCCGTGCCCTCCGCGCGGCCGCCGCGCCGCCGCCGCCCATGGCGAGTCCGTCGTAGCGCCTGCCGCAGCGATGAGGAGGTGAGCTGGGGCCGGGCGGGGAGCGGCGGGGCCTCGTCGGCCGCGGGGGGAGCGGCGGGGCTCGCGGCCTGTCCGAGAGGCGGCCCCGGAGACGGAGGGCGGTGCGGAGGCCGGGCCGGGGGCTCGGAGCGGGGCCGGGCGGCCGCGGCCCTGCGAGCGCGGCCCGTGCCGGTGTGCGGCGCCCAGGGGCCGCTTCGTTCCGCCGCGTCGCTCTGCCCGACCATCCCGCCGCCTCGGCCGCACACAAAGGCGCTCCGGGCTCCGGCCGCTCACCTTCCCGCGGGCCTTGGCTCCTCGGGCGGCCGCGTTCCCTCCGTCTCCGGAGGCGGCCGAAGACGTGTCGAACGGAGTCGTTCGCCGCAGCGAGGCTGCGGTAAAATGGAGCCGAGCGCTTCGGCGGCCCCGTCAGCCGTAGCAAAGCGGCCCCGGCGGGCTGCGGCGCTCCGGGCGGTGCTAGGAAGTCGTGAGATGCGGCCCCGGGAGCCGCGCTGCGCTGTGAGCGCTGACGGAGCTCCAGGAGCCTGAAATTCCCGTCTGCTCTCAGTGATGGTCTCCTGCGTGCCGCCTTCCTACCTCAGCTCCGAAGAGAGCGCGGCGCATCGCGGCACGGCGGACACTTTGCCGGCGTCCTCCCACTTGTACTCTCCGAGCTCTGGTGCTGCGTGACAAGTCCCGGGTTGCCTTGAGGCTGCGATGGGCGAAGCCAAGGCCAGGGATGAGGACGGGTTGCACTCAGCCACCCGGCTCCTTTGACTGTACCGACTTGTGGAAGGCATCCCCGGGTCTGTGTGGGGGAGCAGGAGGTGCCAGAGGTGCCCCATCTCCGCCACGCTGGCGGTGGCCCTGCAGCCCCCACCGGCAGGACCGGCCTGCTCTGTGCTGACTGCTGCCGTTCCACCTCGGGACGAGCTCTGCGCCTGTTGCTCTGACTCAGATCAACCTCTACCGTCTCGGCTTTTAAATTGTCAGTTTTTACATTCTGAGCTGTAGTGAGGCCAGCAGCTGGAAGGCAAAGCTGATAGTTAAATGAAACAGCCGGAGGGAAGAAAGCTGTTTCAGAGATTTCTTGTTTTAGTTCTTACAGCATGGTATTGAAATTACAGCTGAGAAAGGGAAATCCTGCTGGCCTTCTGCTGGCGGTGCTTTGGAGATACTGTTCACAGCCTCTCCCCAGGTTCTATTGAGCAGTAACTCTTGAAATCCAGTTCCTTATAAAGCTTACTTTATACGTGTGTAGTGGGAAGCATTTCGGCATGCAGCTGCTGAGGCTGTTACCTCCTGCTTGTATTCCATAGGAAATACTGGAGCTGTGTTGGTTAGCGTGAAAAGCATTTGTGAGGGCAGCAGTGGTGTCTGCAGAAGTTCAGCCTCGCCTTCCTCAGACTAAACTCGCACAATAACTTTGGTCACATTATCTTTCTGGAGCTATTTAATGCATTTTGAGAAGCCAGAGTTCTCCTCATGCCGTAGTAGTCAGATACTTGATATTCCTGTGGTTGTTTACACTCTTCTATATTAACATGCATTAAGTTGGCTGCATTTTTTTCTGCTGAGGCGATGTGTTAAAGCTGACCTCTAGTATCAGTTATTAAAGTCCTTCAGTAGGAGAAGGAGAATGTGTTGAGGAGCTGAGGTGAAAGGGGAGGGCTAAATATAACCATTTCCTGCAAAACTTATCTATTTTTGAGAGGGCTTGTCTTTCCAATGTACAGAAAGGCTTCCTTTTGCTGCTTTGCTGCTCGTGCTGCTGTGGCTGTCTGTGGTCTGGCTCTGTTGGTAGGTCCCAATGTGTACAGGAAAGCATCACCGGTGCTGTGGGGAGGGAGGTGTGGGGCAGCCCCTCTCAGAGCAGCACCATTGCCCCATGGCTGCCCAGCACAGAGCTGCCTTGTGTTGTCTTGCTCAGGTTGCACAGCACACTGCAGCAGACACGTGGAATCACAGAAACATTTGAGTCAGAAGGGACCCTGAAGGACACGTAGCCCAACTCCCTTGCACTGAACACACTGAACAGGGATGCCCACAGGTGGATCGGGAGCTCAGAGCCTGGCCCAGCCTGACTTTGAATGTCTGCAGGGATGGGGCACCCACCACCTCTCCGGGCAATCTGTGCCAAGGCCTCAGTGCGCTTATTGTAAAAAACGTCTTCTTTGTATCCAATCCCAGTCTCCCTCCTTTTGTTTGAAGCCATTTCCCCTTGTCCTGTCACAGCAGACCCTGTTGAAGAGTCTGCCCCCTTCCTTGCTGCAGCCCTTTCGGTACTGCAGGCTGCTCTCAGCTCACCTCAGAGCCTTCCTTTCTCCGTGCTGAGCAGCCCCAGCTCTCAGGCTGTCCTCGCAGGGATTTTTGTGGCCCCGCTCTGGACGCTCTCCAACAGCTCCATGCCTCTCCTGTACTGGGGACTCCACATCTGGATGCAGTGCTCCAGGTGAGGTCTCACAGCGCAGAGCAGACGTGCAGGATCTCCTCCCTGACTGCTGGCCACGCTGCTTTTGATGCAGCCCAGGATCGGGTTGGCCTTCTGGGTCACGAGGGCACAGTGCTGGCTCATGTCTAGCTTTCCACCCACCGGCAGCCCCGGCTCCTTTTGGGCAGGGCTGAAACACAGCACAGGGCTTATTTGGGAGGAATGCAGGTGAGAGGGATAAAATTGGTTCAGTGCTCCCACAGCCCTGCTTTGGCCTTGCTTTGCTCTCCAAATCCATATACTGGGGAAGGGATGAGCATTGGGCTCCTCATCAGTAGCAAAGAATCTCCTTGGAGGTAGGAGGCAAACACGGGCAGTAAAACAACATCAGTGTGGTGGTGGGTTTATTTTATTTGCCAGCTGGTACTCTGAAGCAATGCTTAAATATAATGAAGTCTGATGTTAAAATAGGATCTAGGAACAGCCGCCATAAATATCCAGGCCCCCTTTTTAGCCCCTTCACTCCTGCCCAAGGGGAAGAAATAGCACTTGAATTTGTTCCCATTCTTAGGTATTTGGGCTCTCAAAAGAGGATTGCAGTATCTGCCCTTATATCTTTTAGTCTCTTCTGTGTATAAACAGGTTAAAATCTCAGCCTGCTCGTCTGTGCAGCTATATACAGCGACAGGAGATCACAGCAGTGTGCCAGATGTGGTAGATTTCAGAGTGGGAATTGCTGTCTTCCATCCTTAATGTGAGTGAGGATTTGCAGGGCTCCAGTGGGCCGGGTTGTGGGTTGGCCCTCACAGGGGTGTGCCAGTGTGCTTGGGGATGGCTTGTCTGAGACCTGAGAGTAACCAGGAGTGAAAGAAAGAGGAGCATGTTGGTCACAGTGTGCTCTGATGGGGGCTAAGAATGCAACTTCCAAGCACGCCCTCCATGGAACTGAAAAGCCATGTATGTGAAGTAAGGAATGATGGATTTCTTGGTGTTGGAAACCTAACTTCACGATAGTTTGGAAGGTTTTTTGAGATCATCAACTTAGAAACAGCTGTTGGCTGTAAAATATAGAGAATTTTGTGGAAATGCTTTCAAGAAGCTCTTGTTTCTTGGCCATTTTGGCAGTTATAACCCAGTTTTAGAGCAGTGCTTCCAAAAGCACGAGCTCTATGTGGATGGGAACGTGGCTGTAACCGAGGGCCCTATGGGCCGGGCTGTGGGTGTGCCTTGCTGGAGATCCAGCCCCTCTCATGCTGCTGGGTGCCTGCAGGCGCCCCCCCTGTGGTGTCGGTGGGCCTCGCTGCTCTCTGAACTTTGCCTGGCTGA